TCATGTTCTTTGGGCCCGTGGTCCCAGACGGCTATGGTGTCTGCTATAACCCCATGGAGGCCCACATCAACTTCTCCGTGTCGGCCTACAACAGCTGTGCTGAGACCAACGCTGTCCGCCTGGCGCACTACCTGGAGAACGCACTCCTGGACATGCGTGCTCTGCTGCAGAGCCACCCCCGGGCCAAGCTCTGAGCCTCCCCTGCTCAGGCCTGCCAATGCCACAGCCAAGCCACCTTGGGGTGGGCCACCCACCAGGGCTCCCCTCCTTTGCTCCTTCTCCCCCGGGCCCTGCAGGTCCGACTGGACCAGGGACAGCACCCCCAGCAGGGCCTGCAGGTCCGACTGGACCAGGGACAGCACCCCCAGCAGGGCCTGCAGGTCCGACTGAACCAGGGACAGCACCCCCAGCAGGGCCTGCAGGTCCGACTGAACCAGGGACAGCACCCCCAGCAGGGCCTGCAGGTCCGACTGAACCAGGGACAGCACCCCCAGCAGGGCCTGCAGGTCCGACTGAACCAGGGACAGCACCCCCAGCAGGGCCTGCAGGTCTGACTGAACCAGGGACAGCACCCCCAGCAGGGCCTGCAGGTCCGACTGGACCAGGGACAGCACCCCCAGCAGGGCCTGCAGGTCCGACTGGACCAGGGACAGCACCCCCAGCAGGGCCTGCAGGTCCGACTGGACCAGGGACAGCACCCCCAGCAGGGCCTGCAGGTCCGACTGAACCAGGGACAGCACCCCCAGCAGGGCCTGCAGGTCTGACTGAACCAGGGACAGCACCCCCAGCAGGGCCTGCAGGTCTGACTGAACCAGGGACAGCACCCCCAGCAGGGCCTGCAGGTCCGACTGAACCAGGGACAGCACCCCCAGCAGGGCCTGCAGGCCGGAGCCACGTGCCTGTGGCGGGTCATCCCCAGTGCCTGCAGGGCCAAGTCTGGGCTGAGTTCAGAGGCTGAGCAGGACATAGGCCAGGCGCCCAGCGAGGCCACCGAGGCCTCCCCCGGGGAAGGAACCCGCTGAGCGTCCCTCAGGCTGGGAGACTGGGAGGACCTTTTTTCTCCAGCTCAGCTCTGGCCAGTCCCTACCATCTGCACACCTGGGGTCTATACGCCAATCCCCAAGCTCCCGAGGACCTAGAGGCAGGATTACCTGGAGCTGGGGGCTCCAGGCCCCACCAAGGCTAAGATGCCGGGATGTGAGGTATACTGGTGAAGGGCTCGCCCAAGGCCTCGCCTCAGCCCGACCCTGCATCGCGCTGCCATCTCCATTGTGGCTGCCATGCTCTTTTGAATAATGTGGCTCAAGAGCTCCCGCTCGCTTGCTTTCACTCAGCTCGGTTCCTGACCCACCTTCCTGGTTGTATCATAGAAATGTGAGGTGATTAATAAAGGGGAAAGTTTTTGGTGAAGAGGTGTTTCAGCCAAGGAGGGGGGCAGGGTGGGGACGGACGCCTTCTACCGGCTTTCTCTGCGTCTGGGAGCTGGTGTCCAAGCAGCCAGTGGTCCAAGGGCTCCCAGAGGAGCCAAGAGGAAGGGACTTCAGGCCTGGGTCAGGGAGCCAAGGGTCAGCTCCGACCTCAGGGCTCTGGGCCAGAATGGCCCCAGACCCAGGGCTGTGTTCACAGACAGCTCCCTCCTACCCATGACTTGGGCCTCTCCAGTCCCATGGGCTGTGGGTGGGGACAGCTCTCCCAGGGGGCTGTGGGGCCCTGTAGCCTCGGGTCTGGAGGGCTGAAGTGTGTGATGGATACCCAGGGCCCAAGGCCTCATCCTGCCACCCCCAGCTGAGCCCAGCAGGAGTGGTGGCTGAGCAGGCACACACCCCCAGCGCTAGCCACTGCCTGGGGCCACCTGATCAGAACCCTCTACCTGCCCCCAGCCCCATGCACCTGGCAGAGGCAGGGTGTCCCCCCAAAGTCAGCTGGGCTGTTTGTAGAGAGAAGAGTCTCCCTCTGAGGGACACTCTGGCCCTGAGGAAGGCACATGTGAAACCCAAGAGCAGAGGCCAGGGCGATAGGGCGGGAAGGTCACCGAGCCTGTGAGCCAGGTGCTTCGTGGCCTGGCTGACCTGCAATGGTCACGAGTTTTCTCCATTTTTCAGATGAGGAAACTGAGGCTCCAAGAAGGCATACCACTTACCCAGAGTCCCAGGGAACAAGAAGTGGACCCCAGACCATGGGGGTTGGGGGGCGTTGTCCTAGGCCTGGTGGCTCCTCGGGACCCCAGCAAGGCCAGCAGGGTGGGGTAAAGCCAGGGGAAGGGGGATGTGAGTGCCTGTTCAGGGGTCACGAGCATGGGGACCTGGCAGAGAATTCCCCCACGACAGCAGGCGCGCCTTGCCCCGCTTAGGCTGCCCTTGGCGTCCCCCAGCCTGGGTCTTGTCTGTACAGTGCAGGTACGCTGCTCCCTCTGCAGCGCCTGGGAGTCCCGGGAAGCAGGGCCCACGGCAGGAGCTGGAGTGCTGTGTGAGCAGTGCTGGGGAGGGGAGAGGGACCCAGGCCAGGCCGCCACACGGCCAGACACCAGGACTCCCGGAATTCAGGTTCTAAGAACCCTATGGGTCTGAATATAAGGCAGAGTTTTTTCCCAAAAAAATAATCTTTCAGAAGTGAGAGCATCCTCTTGCATTGGAGTTGTTACACATCTCGTGATACGGAGGCTCGCTCAGTTCTTTAGAGCTGCCCAGTACTGTTGGGGGAAGACACGCTCAAACCTAAACAACCCCAGGCAGTGTCGATGGGACGCTTGGAGGTCCCCTAGTGGAACAGGTAAGGGATAAAAAGGCAAGGAAACAATAAAGAGTTAGTAATTATTCCTTGAGGGTGTGACATGTGACCTGAGACTTTGCAACGGTGGGATGCGGGGCAAGCACGGGCTCTAAGGTCTCAGCACTGGGAGGGAAGCGTTGGGGTCACACACTCCTACACCATTGATTTTTAAAACCCAGCTGCCTGAATGTTGTGCCAATGGCACTTGTGGCTTTGGATAAACTTTCCAGTGACAGCGTCACACATGGAACCCAGAGGTGCTGCTGTATCTCAAACTGTTTAGCCAGTGGACCCACGATAATCGGTCAGCTGACCCAGAGGTGGTCCCTTGGGCAACCAAACCCTGATGCCAATGACACACATGAAGAACTGATTTAATTTTTTTTTGCAAAAGGAGTGAAAAAGAACGGTTCTAAATTAATATATTTTGTGCAATACATCATTTGAAATTTGAGAATGTAATAAAATTAATGAATTAAAGATTACATGGCTTTTACCTAGATCCTCTAGAAGTGTCTCTATGCAGGCTGGCATGAACTTGACTTTGGCTCTTCGCTGGCTCTTCGCGGGCAGGGCCGCAGAAAGACTTGGGCTTTATCCCAAGACATAGGAGGCTTTCAGGAAGACGCTGAGGAATGGATGGAAGGGGCCTGACTGGGTGGGGATGACAGAAGCCTGTGGCGAGGCTTGGCTGCCCGCAGGCTGGGACTGGTGGCACCTGGACCCAGAGTGGCCTGAGAGGTGGAGGAAATTGAGTATTTCAAAGATGCTTATGAGCCGGAGTGCAAGGAGACTTGGCGACCAACTGAACTGGAAAGGCTGGATTGGGTTACCCACAGGTGGGTGTGCTGGGCGGTTCTCCAAGAGCCCAAGGTGGAGGGTAGGGGTGCGGGTGTGTGCCAATCGGAGTGAAAGCAGTGAGCTTGGCTGAACATCCCACAGCTCACCTGACAGCACCCCGCTCCGCACCGCCTTGCAGCATTTTGGACTCTTCTGAGCTTTCCTCCAGTCCTCTTCAGCTGTGTCAGCCTCCCTACTGAACTCTGACTTCAGCTATTATATTTTTCAGTTTTGATTCACTGTAAAATCTGCCAGGGCTCATTTTAACGTTTCCTGTTCCCTGCAGATATTTTCAAGTTTGTCTTTTCATTCTTTAAAACGGTAAAACAATGCACAGTCTGTGTCTGGTCATTCCAGGATCTGAGGTACTTGTGGGTCTACTATTCTGCTGGTTCTCAATCATGCTGTCATTTCCTTGGGTACGTGGCCATCTTTGTCTATATTTTGTTATTGTAATTTAAAAACTATACAAATAGCTGAAGTCCAGGATGAAGGGTCCTTCCTCCAGAGATCTGTGCACTTCTGCCACACACCTGGGGCGGCCGCCTAACACACTGCGAGGTTCCATGGTCCACTGTGGCCCCCAAATCCAGCCTGCAGCCCAGGCGAGGACGGGATCACTTCTGGTTCACCCTCACCCTGCGGGGGCAGCCGTTGCACATCTCGGTTTAACAAATCGGGGAAGGATTAGACTCCCTGCCTTGGGCCAGGCCCTTGAGTTTGACATTTCATTTCTTTCGCCAAGGCCTCCAAAAACACAGCTGTTTAGAGTTACTTCTTCCAAAGCAAGACACTCCCCTGTCCACATACTCACGAAAGACTGAGTTCAACAAGGAGCGGAGGCCTTCAGCCGGGCGGAGGCTGTGCCCGGTCCTCAAGAGTGTCACGTGGAGGAGGAACTAGGCTTACGGAGGGCAGAGCCAGCCAGGACCACACAGGGAGCTGACTGGGACTGGAAAAAGGGGAAACTTCCTAACTCTGAATGGCGCTGAGGTCTCCCCAGACTCGTGGAGAATATGCAGTGGCATTCAAACCCCGGTTCTGGGGGCTAGAAGGGACTCGATGTCTTGGAGATGCTCGTGATTTTATGTGCTTAACCATATCCTTGCCCCTCAGGGTCACATGTCCCCACAACGGCCCCCAGCCTCCTCCCATGAGCTCAGTCAACATGTGCTCAAGCCGCCAGAGTTCAAGATTTTATTTTAAAACAATAGTAAACAATTTCATTGATTTTTCTTAAATCACCTCACACCTGGCTTGTCTCAGGCAAAAAGTAAAAAATAAAAATAAGAAGGGAAGGGGAGGAAAATGTGGGGACTGACCAAGCTTCCCCAGAAATAGGCCCCTGGTCCTGGCATCTGGAATGGCTTTTGGACACTGTCTTCAACAAATGAGAAAAGAAAGCACCAAAATATTGTGCTTCAGCAGCAGATTAGGAACCTCCATAAAGAAAAAGGCGGGGCAGGAGAGGGATTCAAACACAGGACCCAAGCAGCCTGGTTCAGTTCGAGAAACTTGCAAGAGTCTCGAAGCATCTCCTCTCCACAACTCCATTTCAGAGCAACTGAGAGACCAGCTCCCTTGAGGAAGGAAGAGGCGTCTTCCGAGCTGGACAGCGGGGATCTGAGCCTGCCTCCCGGGCTCAAGGGTGACCCCGAGCAGGCTCCCAGCGTCTTGGAGGGGGGTCAGGAAGGACGAGGAATGTTCAGAGCATCCAGAGGGAGGGGAAGTGTGGGGACGTCAGGCACCCACTGCCCCACTGTGCTCAGCGGCTCCCGGTTCCTTCACATCTTGTTCGACTGGAGATGAAGACTAACTGCTCCGGATGGCAGGACGGAAGGGCTGTAAACAGCCGGGGTGTGCTCACCCACATGTGCAGGCTCTTTTGTCAGAAAAGGACCATTGTCTTGGGGACAGGGGACCAGAAAAAGCCCTTATGGTGTAGGGTTGATATGGGGTAGAACGCAGTGATAGCAGCCGCCAGATGCGTGCTCTCTGGGCCCTGGCCCCAGACAAGGAAACACTGAACGAGGTTCTGGAATGACAATGGTGGCAGGGAGGGCATAGGGGTGCTCCCATCCTCCTGGGCCCCCAGGCCACCTCTCAGGCCCAGGGAGAGGCAGCCTGCCCCTGGGCTCAGGGCAAAGGGCCTGGGAAGCTGACCTGGGCCCCTCTGTACGCAGGGCAGCCACTGCCGAGCAGGCTCTTCCAGCCCCATCTCCAAAATCCCGTGTGCCTTTGACAAAACCAAGAAATAAATAGTATTTTTCACGCTTCCTGGATTTCCTGGCCCCAAGACCAGAGGTGCAAGCCCTCTTCCTGTACCCCACACCCTGGCGCCCACAGCAAGGGCACTTTCCGCCCGACCGGGGGCTGGCAGCAGCACAGCGAGGCTCTCTGGCCATGTGGCCCCCTGGCAGCAGGCCCTCCAGGGTCCTGGTGGAGGGGCTGGCTTGGCCCTTTGGTCCACCTTGTTCATTAAAATTAAAATAAGAAAAAAAAAGGCTCCACTTGGTGACTTGGGTCTGTAGAGGTCTCTGCTTTGTCCCTCTGTCATTCCGTCCATCCTGCAAGGCATCGTGCAGGCCAGATCTGTAGGCTGGACCCAGCCACACTCACTGGTCACTGCAGTTTCGTTCCCAGCTTGCGTTGTCTGTTCCTGCAAAATGGGCAGGGGGTGAGATGGGAGAATGCCTGGGGGTCAGATGAAGGGCCTCCTGGCTTTCGGCGACCTGCGCTCTCAGCTGTCCCTCCCCATCCACAGTCCCTTCAAGATGGGTGAATGCCCCCCCCAGGAGCCCGTTATTGACTCGAGCCGGGTCAGTCAGAGCTCCTGCCCTGGACTTGGGATCTAGCGAGGGTCAATCTCTCTGGCTGAGCCTGTATCGCAGATTTCTAAGCCCTAGAGTCCAGGAACAGAGCCAAGAGATTAGGGCAGGAGTGGGGGCCTGGATGAGAGAACAAGAGGGCCCTGGCTGGGTTCCAGCTAACGATGGGGCGTTCCCCTTTACAGATAAGCCAGCACAAGCAGGCTCTGTTACCATCAACCAAAAGAGACAAGGAAGTAGTGAGCCCTCCGGCTGGGAGGGATGTAAGTAAAGGCAGGAGATTACTGATAGAGGTTACAGAGGGGACTGGATACCTGGTTTGGGGGTGTGGCTACATCCACGATGGGCCAGGATTATCCTTGAGGGAAGTAGGAATAATCACCCCATTTTCTAGAGGGGCTGGCTGAGGCTCAGAAAGAAGAATGGGGCTCATCTAGGGTCCCAGGTAGAATCCAGAAGCCTAACTGTGCCCACAGGTCCTGCATGATGTGGCCCAGCCTCACCCACCCCCAGCTACCTGGCTGCAGCCACACAAGCCTGTCTGTCGGGTGGACTCACCAGCTTCCCACGTCGCAGCTCTACACATGCTGTTCCCTCTGAGTGCACTCTCCCTTCCAAACCCCAGCTCCAACAGGCCTGTTCTTTCTCCTCACTCAGGTCTGTCTCCCCTGGACATCAGGCCTGACCACCTCCCCCGACAGCGGGTTCCTCTCACGAGCTCCCAAGCACAGGGCACTGATCACACGGGTAGATGCCTCTTTTGTGTGCCCCCTGCCTGCTGTGGCTGTCTCACTCTGTGCCTGCACCCAGCACACAGCCAGGCACAGAGCAGATGTGCACACAGATTGTGGGAAACGAAGGCAGGTGGCAGCCAGCCAGGTGGGGAAGGCAGGGCCAGGCGGGGCCAGGTGGGGCAGAGACACTCCGGTAGCCAGGTGGAGAGCTGGGCCTGGGCCAGCTGGGCCCTTTCCACCAATAATGGGATTGCCTGCCCTAACCCCCTCAAATCCCCTTTCTTCACGATCCAGGACTTTACCCTTAAGCTCGTTAGGATAATTTGGACCATGATGCACTAGACACATTTCCCGGCTGCTCCGACGCCCTGCCCACCATGGCTCCTCTCACCAGCTCCTGGGAAACCTCCCAGCCTTGCTTTGGAGCCCGACGTCCCCTCAGCTCCCTTCTGAACCTGGGGAGGAGCCAGGCCTAGCCCCACCCTGCAGGCACCCCACCCAGGATTTGGGGTGAGTGGAGTGGGACAGTGGAGTGGGACAGCCGAGTCAAGAGGCTCCAAAACCCTCTTTGCCTCGACTTGCTGTGCAACCACAGGCAGCCTCTCACCCACTATGCCTCGGTTTACCCATTTCCAGGAAAGAGTCTGGGCTAAACAGCCCCAAGGGGAGTCCACACACAGGAGCCCTGGGAATCTCGGCTGCCCAGCTCTCTGGTTCTGGGCCAGACGGCCTGGGTCGCAGCCCAGCTCCCCTACCCACCATCTGTAAGTTCTCAGTCAAGTGACTCCTCCTCTCCTCTCTGAGCCTCAGTTTCCTCATCTGTAAAATGGGGTGCAGGGGAGGACTCAATGAGGCAGTGCGAGAACAGTGCTTAGGCAGGTGCCTGGCTCTTGGGGAGCCCTCCAAAAATGGAAGCAGTGGCTGCCCTGGGGCTGTGCCCCATGGAGCCAGGACCCAGTGACTGTCGTCCCCTTAACTCACCTGGCTTCTGCTCGGGTTACTGTGTACTCAAACCAGAGTACGTTGGGAATGAGGCTCGTGTCTCGAATTAGGAAGAACTCAGAGATAGGCCTGGAGAGACAGACACCCAGAAAGCCAGGGCCACATCAGGACCTGAGCCCGTCACCAGCCAGACTCCTCCACCAGTGCCTGGGGCTGGCGCTGTACCCTCCCCCACTGCTCTGAGTCTCTGCCTGGCCATAGACCCCTGAGATTGAGAGACCCAGATGTGTCACCTGTGTGACTCTAGGGCAGGGGCACCGCCACAGGATACAGACAGCCCAGGAGGACTCAGCTTGCTTTCTAAGTCCCAGAGAGCCTTGACAAAGACAGAGGATGGCACTCGGCCTCTGGGCCGGGGACGGCACCCCTGTGGGGGGGAAGGCAGGCAAGTGAGGCCGGTAGCCTTATGCCCTTCAGAGATCTGGGCACTATTGTCATCCCAGGGAGACTGAGGCTGGGGTCAAGATGCCTGGGTCCTCCCACTGATGGCTCCATCCGCAGGAGGGGGCAGAGGCCATAGTGCCCAGGAAGGCGGGAACAGCAACAGGGACAGGAGACAGTTACCAGGCTGCTATCCTGGGGAACAGCGGTGTGAGGACCTCCTGGGTGAAGACAAACCAGGCGATGGCCATGAGGCTTCCGGCGATGCCCCCATAGAGCACCTGGCTCCAGGTGTGGTACAGCAGGTAGACCCTGGGCCAAGGACAGAGGGAAGCTCATGAGAGCAAGCCAGAGGCAGGCCTGCACAATCCCCCGTGCCAAGTGCCAGCTTCCCAGGGACCTGTGCATGCACACGGGGGACACACACAGACAGGACAGACTCCTGGGAACACAGAGCCTCAGATCTACTTCCAGAAGGAGGCAGGGGGTTGGACCCCACCAGGGGCTCCCCTGAGTCTAGAAATGAAGGGATGGCTTGGCTGGGATTTTCCTCCCTTCTATCCAGCCCCGGAACTCTGAGTCTGTCTACAAGGGGCTCCTCCAGGATGCTGGGAGCAGCTGGCTGACGTGCGGAGGTGCCCCTAGAACACTGGGCTCAGCCGGGAGGAGAGAGCAAGGACTAAGCTGGAAAGGGCAATTGGAGCCCCATCCCTTTAAAACTAGAGGCCTGGGACCCCTTTCCCAGCCCTGCCCTCTAGGCTCTGCGATGCGGGTCCACAATGGGGTTCAATAGGGACCAAGAATCCAGCAAGACCCCAGTGGGTAGGGTGTCGGGGCGGGGGGGGCTCTCGCTCCCTCCATACCTGCTGTAGGAGACTAGAAAGGCCGCGGTGAGGAGACCCAGGGAGAGCACGTGCCTCCACAGCAAGTCCAGGAACCTGGCGTTGTTTGTTTGGTGCATTCTGGGAAAACAAGCCTGTCAGACAGCCTCAGCCCTCCCAAAGAGCCCCTGGTCCCATCCCAAAGCTCCATGGGCACCTTCTGCCTTGGCTGCAGCTACTCCCACCCCCACAGAGGCCAACCCCAAGAGGCATCCAAAAGGCTAGCAGTGAGCCCCACAGAGCTGTCTGGGGCCAGCGCAGGGCCGCCCCAGCCAGACCAGAAGCTCACCGTAAGTACAGGAAAAGGAAGGAATAGACGGAGAAGAACCACATAAACTGCGAATGGCTGGAGGGCATCCCGTACTTGGTGCCCACTGCCATGTGGGGGCCTGGGAAAGAGAAGGAACAGGGAGTGATGGGAGGACGCAGGCCTCCCAGGGAAGCCCCGACCTGGGGCACCCCAGACCCCTGCTGCCCGGGCCCTACCTCCACAGGGCCGCGGCTCCTGGATGACGTGTTTAATCAGCCAGTTGACCCCCTCGTTCAGTGCCAGGCCCCCGAGGAATGAGATCTGCCGGGAAGATGTGCAATGAGCTGGGACTCTGCCTGCTGGCCGCCGTCCAGCCTCAGAGATGGGGCCTCCACCTGAACCTCCCCACCCAAGTGGTAAACCTGGGAGCAGCCAGGACCCTCCCCACATCTCTAGAAAGGTGGAGGCACGGCAGGGATGAAGCGGTGCAGCCCCTCCTCCCAGTGCTGGGGACACTGGGGAGCAGGGGGGGCGGTGAGGGGTGGTGGGGACAGACTCACTCACCGTGTGCAGCTCCCGCTTGAATATGATGAGGGTCACAAAACCGACGATGACAAACACAGGGCTGAGGCTCAGGTAGGCAAGGAGGTGGCCAGAGAGATCACCTGGGAGAGACAGAATAGGAGGACGGGGCTCAGGCATCAGAAGGGCCTGAGCCAGGAAGGAGGTCCCAGCAGGCCCGGGAGCAGGGCCAGGCTGCTGTGGCAGCCTCCGTCGACGAGCTGGCTGGAACAACTCGGTCACGGGCGCAACGTGCCGGCGTCTATTTCCTGAGCACTGAAGTTCAGACTGTGAGTTTCAAGCAGGTGCCTTCACTGTCCCTACTCTGTAAATGAAGAAACCGAGTCCCACAGGGGTTGTGTGACTTGCCCAAAGTCACACAGCCAGAAGGAGGTGGGATCTGGACTAAAATCCCTGTCTGTGGCCTGGCACGATACTCATTACCCCACTGGAGCAGGAATTTGAACCTGGCTTCGTCAGACCCTTGAGCCCAAGCCCTGTACCAGGAGGCAGCCGGGCAGGTGCATGGGGGCCCCTGGACCGCAGTCCTGTGCTAAGGCTGCCCCAGCCCAGCCTCAGCCTCCAGGGGACCCAGGTATTCTCTGGACACCACACAGACTTGGGTTGACCCAAGGCCAGTGTTGGGTGGAGGGTGCATAGCCCAATATGGCTGCCTGGCACCACCCCCGCTTCTCACCGCCTCCCTGCTGGCAAGAAATGGCTACCTATTGACCTCTCGCTTCTTCCCCTCCTAACTGGCCTGGGAGGGAGGCAGCATGGGGACCACCAACCCTTCTGAGAGATGAGGACACTGAAGCCAAGAGACAAGAGCCACTTTCCCCTTTGCCCAAGGGCAAGGTGATGCCGAGTCCAAAGGCCACCCCCACCATTTGAGACAGGGCAGCTCCGTGGCCACACTGGGATCAGAGGGCATGGTTCAGCTCTCGGGCCATCACTTGCAGGCCTGCTAGGTGACACTGGGTGAGGCTCTTCCCTCTTCTGGACCCCTGTCTCTTCATCCACACAGTGGCCTGGTCCCTTGTAGCCCTGAAATTCTGGGTTTCTCAGCTGCCCAGCTGATGCCCAGGGCACCGGGCTGTGAGGACAGGGCGTAGCTGGTGCCTCCAAACCTTTGGCCATCTCCATGGCCTGTCCCACAGCCAGCAACACCCTTGAGCCTTCCTACAGATGCTGTCAGCAACTCTGGCCCCGCCACTCTGATCCAAGCCCCTGTGTGGCTCCCTCTGCCCAGCTCATGAGGCCATGCACTCCTCCCACCCTCTGCTCCAATTCTAGGGACTGAACTCAGGTTCCCTGAGCGCACGTTGCTCTGCCCTACTTCTGGACCTTCGCACACACTGTTCCTCCACCTGGGATGCTGCCCAGGTTAACTCAACATAAATTATTTACCCACCACAGTGGCAAAAAAAGATATGCTCCTGCTGTTGTGGTGCCCTCCGTCTGGGAGGAATCAGTAATCAGGCATCACTCACGATATGCTTGTTAGTGTAGATATCGGGCCAGCGTCTGTCTCTCTCTCTCCACGGTAGGCTCCGTGAAAGAGCAAGGATGGGGCCCCTCAAGCCCAGCAGAGCTCAAAAACGATGTTAAGTGAATGGATGAAGGAAGCAAGGATCAGTGTGCTGAGGGGTACGAAGGAGAAGTGCAGGGGGCCACAGAAGAGTTAGCCGGGGGTCAGACTTTGCCAGATGCCCCAGGGCACAGCCAGGTCCCTCCTCCAGGCACCCACAGTTCCTGCAAAGGTCCCTTGTCACAGCCTGCATCATACTGCTCACAACTGCCAGGTCTTTTCTTCTTGCTGGTTAGACTGTGAGCTCCTCTGAGGCCAGAGGGTGGGGGGCAAGTGACGAAGGTGCTGAGGCCTTAGCTAAGTCCCTTCCATCTCCAGGCCACAGCTTGCCCCCTGTAAAGTGGGTTCTTTTTTCCACAGTCCAGGACTGTGGGGACATATCTGCCTGCTCACCATTCTAAACCAGAGCCAGCCCAGGGCCTAGCCCTCAGGAGGCGCTCAGTGGATACTGGCTGGCTGGCTGGATGGTGGGTGAGCAGGCAGGCAAGTAGGGCCCAGGACCTGGCAGGGCCGCCCTAGCCCCAGTATAACTCAGAACACCCAGTCTCCCAGCCTAAAGCTCCCTGGCATCCCGCCCTGGGGTCCTCAGCAGGGCTAGGCTCTCACATCTCTGCCCATGAGCACAGCACAAGCAGGCCCTTCCTCAGACAACCAGGTCTCAATGAGGGGCTCCCCCAACACCCAACCATCCTACCCAGGGAGGGTGGGGCGGGCTTGAGAGGGCCCTGGGAAAGCGGGATAAAGTATTATCAGTCATTATTAAGCTGCAGTTACTCATTAAATGTTTACTGTGTCCACGCACTGCACTCAGCATTTCTCATGCTTCCTGTTATTTGATTCTCACACCACAACGAGAAGGCAGGCACTGCAATCAGTCCCACTTTAGAGACGAAGTAACTGAGCAGAGAGGTGAAGTCACCTGCACAAGGCCTCTGCCTGGACTTGAGCCCAGATACCCCGGACCCCAAGGCCCAAGCTCTGCATCACTCTACTAGACCGTCTCCAGAAAGGTCGCTAAAGGACCTCCCAGCTGGAAAACTCTGCGCTTCTAGAGATGCATCTTATGGAAAGCTCCAGAAGTCAAGATCCCGGGGGCTGCCTGTCCCCTCACCGGGTCCCCAGTGTTGTGGAGCAATGCCCTGCTCAGGGCGTAGCACCAGAAGTACTCAAACAACGAATAGTCGCCCGGTCTCGCTTTGCACACTCCCAGCAACGGGGAGCTCTTTCTCTTCCAGGCAGCCCCAAAGCACTGTTTGAAGGAAACAGGCACTCCCTGCACGCCGAGGAGGGAGTCCGGCCTCCCTGGCTCCGGGGAGGGCGGGGAAGAAAGCCCCAGGTCCAGGCCAGTGATCCTTTCCCGCCTCACACAGACCCCCGACCCACTACAGACCACCCGCGCCACCGGACCCGGGGGAGCGCCCCGGCCGCGCAGCCGCAGAGTGCGCGAGCGAGCCGCTCACAATTTCGCCCAGCTCATCGCCGCGCTACTGCGCCTGCGCGGCGCGCGAGCCGGCCGAGCCCCTCCATGGCTCACTGTTTGACAGTTCCCACTCCGGCCCCCCAGCGCCCCCTCCGAGGGCTCGCGCGGGCCCGAGCACCCAGGGCGGAGGGGCCGGCCCCGGGAAGGAAGCCTCGGAGCCAAAGCCGCCTTTTACCTGCAGGATATTCGACGTGGGTGAGGGACACTGGCCGCCATGAAGCGGGGAGCGAGCACTGTCCGTCCGCTGCCATCTTACCCGGAGACCGGGCTTCTCCGAGCAGCCAATGGGGAGTCAGGGGGGCGGTGGTCCTGGCCTATCACGCCGGGGAGGCGCCGCGCACCCAATCGGAGGCCGATACAGGTAGCGGCGCAGCCATTCAGCGTGCAGGCCGTGGGGCCGGCCCGAGCGGCGAATCAGAGAGCGGGGCCCTTAGGAGCCTGCGAGCGGCCAAGCCGGCGCCCAATCCGGGACGAGCGCAGGTAGGTGCCTAGCCAATCAGGGGAGAGGAGGGTTCCAGCGCACAGCAGAGAGCAGAGCAGCCAATCAGAAGGTGATGCCGGCTCTCAGTGTGGGCAGGGCGGGCCAATCAGGCGCTAGCCTGGGGGGCGTGTAGAACTTTGGTGGGAGCTTTGGTTTGGCTGAGACCTGCGCCGAGTGAAGGCTTTCCCGGTACCCGGAGCCCGCCTCGGGTCGGCGGGACCTGGGCGCTCGTCAGAGCGCATGCTCCAAGCGGGGAAGCATCCTTGGTACGATGGGTTCTGAACCCACCTACTTTTAGTTATGGGTAAACTGAGGCCATAGGGGCCCCTAGGGGCCTTATTTTTCTCTGCCCATTTACTGACTGGCGACAGGGCAGGTCACACAAAGCCGCCCACCTTTCTGTTAAAAGTGTGTGGGATGGGAGAGGGAACTCCCTGGGCGGGGCGCACAGTTGGCGCCCTAAACGCCTTAAAAAATGGAAGCTTAAGGGATGATAAGAATGGGAGCTTAATTGAAGTTAAAGACTCTTTCCTCCTTTCATTCAATTAACAAAGATTTATTGATTCAGTCACATTTATGCTGCTTAATGAGGTGTCTTGGGAGCGTTTTAAACAAGAAGCCGGTTGGTTTTCCACCTACACCTCGGTTTTTCCAAAACATTCCTCTCGGTGGGCTACAAGGCCCTGCGTAAACAGCCACACCTTCCCACCCACCTCTCCCTCCCCAACCCCTACTCTCTCAGGCTAGATTGAATTACTGACAGTCCAAGTAAAGCGCCCGTCCCCCTCCTGCCTCCTAGCCTTTGCACATGCTGTTCCACTGCCTGGAATGCATCACCCCTCCTGCCCCACTTTGCTTGGCCCAGTCTGGCTCAGGTGTTTGTTCTCACTTAGAGGTTTTCGTGGCTGGGTGAGGAGCCTGCATTGGGCTCCCACAGATGCATCCTCTCTCCTACCTCAGCACTGACCACACTGGACTGCAGTCGGTTCCTTGTCTGTCTGTCCCAGTGAGCAATGGTTCAATGGTTCTCTGACTTCATGCAGCACCAAGATCAGCTTGTAGGAAATGCAGATCCCTGGGTCCCAGTGGGGCCTGGGTTGGTCCAGATCTGGGTTGAGCCTTGGAGTCTGCATTCTTATGTACTGGGGTTCTGATACAAGCGGTTCTAGCCACACCTGGAGAAGCCCAGCACAACATGAAGACAGGGCCCGTTACATATCTGAGCCTGGCCCAGGCCAGACCTAGAACAAGTGCCTGATAAATGATATAAATGCTTGTAGGGAGAAGTGAAGATAAACCAGGGAATCCCACTGAGCAGAATGGCTCGCTCTCCGAGCCTGCAGGACAGCTGGAGCCAGGGCTATGGGCTCGGCCCAGGGGGCTGGGGGGATGATGGTGACTCAGAACCCACCAGCCAGCCAGGAGGGCCCCCTGGCCTCCCTTGGCTGTGCTCAGCTCCCCAGCCAGCCCAGCCTGGGCTTGTGTGGGTCAGCTGGCCCCGTCTCCCTGTCACCTGCCCCCGGCTTCCTCAGGCACTGCCATTATTAGCTTCTGAGGAGCAGGAGGTGTGAGGAGTGGGCTGTGAGTTTCCCAGAATAGTTCCCTGTGACAGGGCAGCCATCCCAGGTCTGGCTGCGTTGCCCCGATTAGTGACTATTTCACTGATGAGCAGATAGGCCTAGAGAGACAAAGACCCCGAGACCCAGGCCTGTCTGGTTCCAGGGTCTTCTCACCTCAGGGAGGCGTTCCAAGGAAGTGACAAGGATCAGGAAGTACAGAATGAGACGGCATTATCCCGCATGGGGTTTTCCTGGCAGAGGGAACTGCACCAGCAAGTGTCCTGAGGCAGGAGTGTGGCTGGATGAAAGGGGCGAGAGGGAGGGGGTGCTGAGGGAGGAGGGGGTCAGCCGGGGCCTGGGCTCCCCAAACTCTGAGGGCCACTGCTGGTGGTGAGGACAGAGGGGCGCTCTGAAGGATCGGTGGGTTGGTTGGTTTCGTTTTGCTTTTTTAAAAAATTAAAATATAACCTTCATTCAGGAACTTCCAGAAGTCGAATGTGTACAGCTTGAAATTTCACAAACAAAACACACCAGGCAGCCCCCTGATCAAGAGAGGGCTTGTCACACAAAGCCGACTACCTTTCTGTTCAAAGTGAAAGCAGCCCCCAGATCAAGAACTAGGGCCCTGGGAGCCCCCGACCCCCATCTAGTCATCCCAGGTGACCACCATCCCAACTCCTAACACCGTATATTAGGTTGGTCTGATTTTGTACTTCCTATAAGCAGGATGCTACAGTGCGTACTTTTTGTGTGTGGCTTCTTTCACTGGCATTGTGTAGGTGAAGTTTAGCCATACTGTGGCCTCTACTTGTAATTTGTTCTCTCCCGTTGCTGTGTGGTATGCCATGGTGTGAACACACCACCGCTTATTTTCCATTTGACCCTTGATGGACATTTGGGGTGTTTCTAGATTTGGGATGTTACAAGTAGTGCTGCTAGGAATGTCCTTGTGCATGTCTTTGGTGTACCTATGGATGCATTTCTGATGGAGATGTGCCTAGGAGCCACTGCAGGGTCCCATGAGATGGCAGAGGTGACAAGTCAGACCTGCCGTGTGGACGAGGGTCTTGGCGGGGCAGGCGTGAATGCTGCAAGGAAACCCTGGGAAGCTACAGGAGCCACCTGCCTCTCCCTGAGCTGAGGGTTAGACCAGTGATGCCCCGGCATCGCTCTGAACATTGTGGGAGGTTTCCAGCCTGTCACTCAGCTTATCTTCCCAACAGCCTGCAAAGCAGCTCTTAATTTCCCCGTTTGTAGCTGAGGACAGTAAGGCTTGGAGTGCCCCACCATTTGCCAGGTCACCTGGCTAGTATAAGGCAGAGCCAGGATTTGAACCCAGGTCTGCCTGATGGGCAGGCCCAGGTTCTGAACTTCCCTGCATCCCATGACCCCAACTGCTAGCTGCCTCCTCCCACTGCCTGGAGGAGGCCGCAGACAAGCCCTAAGACCTGGGCTTTTCCAGAGCCCCTGCTTTTCCAGAGCTCCAGCTTTTCCAGAGCCCCTGCCTTTCCAGAGGCTGAGCTTTTCTAGAACCCCAGCCTTTCCAGAGCCCAGCTGTCCCAGGCAGGGCTGGCCTTTCACTCTCACCTCTCTTCTGGCAGGGAGTTCACAGACAGGGCAGCCCCGAGATCCGAGGCACAAAGTCTAACTCCGTGCTCTGTGCCCCAGCCACCCTGGCTTGTGCTCACCATCCCTTCAGAAACTCTCTTCCCCTCTCTGGGCCTGTTTCCCCAAAATGTGGCAGCTGCTGCCCTCTAGATTAGAGGTTCATTCATTCGCTTCAGAAATTACTTGAGTTCGTAAGAAGAGCCAGACCCTGTATAAGTGTCAGGGGTGTCAATGCAAATAACCAATACCAATCTATTGATAAGACAGATAAGGTGAGTTTTGCTTGAGCCAAGCTGAGGACTAGCCCAGTAAGGCAGTTTCTACAAAGGAAGAAAGCATTCTAGACAAGCATGGTTTTCAGTACAGTTTTATACCTTTTTAGAACAAAGAACAGGTGACATCAGCATCATGGCAGAGTGAGTTGTTCCCTTTGTCTCTCCCCTCTAAGTTACAACTAAGCAGACTTTCATTAACCAACAGAGGATTCCCCACACGACACAATAGGATGTCCAAGAGATCCATGCAGCCATGCATCCAAAGATGGGGGGACTGGATCCCTGGGAAGCAGTGGAACTAGGTGAGCAGACCCCTATGCCTCTGCCTCCCTGGCGGCAATGATCTAGGTCATGGGTCCTCACACAGCAGCTGGTGCAACTGTAAGAAGAGGCAGGGGCTCTTTTTGCATGCAAAGGCTTTTGGAGTGGTTGCCTGGCCGGGGGAGCACCCACCGTGCTGTGGCGGCCCTGCCTGTGAGAATGCTCCCTACTAAGTGGTATGGCTCAGCCCCCACGAGGGAGCCCCCACCAAGCACTGCAGCTCAGTTCAACTGCCTGCAAGTGCAGAGCCAGCTCCTACACTAAAGAAAGCACCCCTCCCCTCCTGCCTTGTGCACCAGCTCAGCCAGTCCCTTCCCAAGCATAGCAGTCCTGCACCAGAGCAACCCACCAGTGGAGCAGAGAGGCCCCGCCTGCGTGGGTGTGCGTGACGTGTCAAGCAGCTGTGGCCAGCATGCAAATGCAGAGCAGCCCTACCAGCACAACTTCCAGCAGGTGGGGTGGGATCAGAAAACACAGCTCCCACCCTCCCCTCCCCCCACAGTGATGGCAGGTGGAAACTGTGACCTGATACTATCACAAATGTGCCGGCAAAGGACCACTTCATCAAATACCGTGAAGAACTACACTAATGCATCAGAACAGAAGGAAAATGACAAGTCCCCAGAAACCAGTCCTGAATTCACAGCAATTTACAATCTAAATGACAGAGAATTCAAAATAGTTGTCATAGAGAAACTCAACAAGTTACAAGAAAACTCAGAAAGACAGTTCAGTGAGCTCAGGAGTAAAATTAATGAGAAGAAGGAATACTTCACCAAAGAGATTGAAACTCCAAAAATGAATGAGATAAAACATAATCTAGAATCCAGAAAAAGGGAGCTGATGTTATGGAGGACAGAATTAGTGATTTAGAGCATAGAAATCTATAAATGCTTCAGGTGGAGGAGGAGAGAGAACTAAGATTTTTTTTAAATGAAGAAATTCTTCAAGAAATATCTGACTCAATTAGGAAAAGCACCATAAGGATTATAAGTATTCAAGAGGGAGAAGAGAGGGAGAAAGGAGAAGAGAAC